ACCGACCTGAATAACAGACACATTCGTTCTTTCTCACACATTTGCAAACATAGCGTTGGCTAGCTCTCTAAAGATACCCTTGACTACTGGATGGTTCTGGGGATTTTTTCGAGTGGGCCGATGCGCACAGCTGGAGCATTCGTTTCTCATGGTGGTCAGAAGGTATCTGAACACAACTTTGCAGGCAAGGACGTGTGGGATCCAGTAGAAAAATGCAGATCAAGTGGGGGCGGGGGATGGGAGTGGACGCAGACCCCCAGCAAGAAAAGGACTCATGTTCTCCAGGCGTTCCTCCTGAAAGGGTCCAGACGTTGGCGCAAGAAGTGATGTGGGATTATGCCATCCAGATGCTCGTCTCACCACCTCTGGAGGAGCAGACGCAGCTGCGCGGCGCGAAGATTGCTTTGACACGTGGCACGGCCGTGCGTGTAGGCGAACCCGCGCCATGCAGCACGATCGCCAGTGGCCCAGGCAGCCAGCCTGAAACTGCCGTCACCTTCAGACTTTCAGGAAACCTCCTCCCCCTCCTCCCCCTCCTCTTCCTCCTCCTCCTCATCATCATCATCCTCCTCCTCCAGTCTGGAGCATGTGATCACCTCCCCTCCCTTGTTCAGCTTGCGGCCCCGAGTTAAGTTCACTCACTCCAGCCATGCATCCTTTAGGACATGTGCGTCGGCACGGCAACATATTGGGAGGTCGTTTGGAAAAGGATAGCGGGACAAACAAGCCAGCCTTGCAGTGCATCGATTGTCGGAACAGTCGAAAAAGCACGCGCGCATCAACACATTCAATTGCCTAGGGCCTAGGAGGAGAAGGAGGAGGAGGAAAGAAAGGAGGAGGAAGAGGAGGAGGGAGGAACAACGAACCAATTCATATAATGGAGCGGATTGCATGCTTGAGTCAACCAGCATACCGAAGATTCGAGCGCTTGACTCAGACAGCGCCAGTGTATCGGCGGCAACTTCGACGACCACCCCGTTTCGGCAGAAATTCCGGACGAAAGGGATCGGCTTTTGTGTTGCGAAATGTTGCCCACCAGAACTTTTCAATCCCACAATGCCGCCCTGCAAGCTTTGTGCACGGATACACTTTGAGTTATGGCTTTTCAAGCTCAACATGATCAGCGACTCCTCGTGCCCTGCACTCCGGTCTTGGGTACGATCTTCTATTCTGGTTGTTGATAGTGCCGGCGTATCATCCGAAGTGGTTGCTTCTATGTCGGATTCCTTCGATGTACTCGCGAACAGCGCCTGCAAGGTACTGCAACCATTCCAGTGCTCGTCCATGTTGTTTGTATCAATGATAGCCGTTTGCTCTGCTCGACCATTACACCGTGGACGCTGGGGGGTGCGGAGCGTTGGAGCTTGGGACGCGCGGGAAACCTGGTTTCCCTGCAAACGGTTTGTCTGCACTGCCACCTCTTTGTCACAGTCTTGAGACAGTCTCCAATCCCAGGGTTCAATTCACAGACGGCCTCCTTTTCAAAGAAATCGGACTCCTGCGGCGACCTCTCAGCATCCGTTTCTCGACGTCCCTTGCAATGGTCTTTCAGTTTTTCCAGGTTGTTGACCATCCAAGAAGCATCAACATGTTGAAGGTCGTCCAAGCTAGTACGTAGCAGAAGCAATTCCACGTTGCGCATTTTCTTCTCGATCTCTTCCAAGGTATTGGTGTCCTGGTGTCCCTTCCAAGATGTTGCAAAGCATTGTTAGGAGCATGCTTCTCTAGAGAAGCAGTGCGAGAATAAATGAAATCCAATCGGCGAAACTTTCATCACATTGATCCATGACCAAACTCTGAAATTCCATTGTAGCTGCATGCCGCCGCCGGTTGCGCACGGACCACGCCGATTCTTTCCTGGGTGCGCCCAAGCTTAGCGGGGCAGAAGAGCAACGATCAATATCCATCATTGTGCAGACACGCTGTACGCTGTGAGTGCTACGCTACAAAATGAGCTTTGCAAACTGTGCTTGAGCCACCTTAAGCGATTTCAGCTCTCCAGTTGTAATACATTGCGCCCGACACATTGTTTTAGAAAGGAAGGCATGGCACGACGGCGTGCGAATGGAATGAGACCACGTGCTGATTCATGCGAGGCAGCCGCACGGAAAGTAACTGTAACTGAATCGTCCAGGGGGGGCTCAAGAGGGGAAGGGGGAAGAGAGGAAACTCTTGAATTGCAAATCCGCGAAAAGTTGTCAGAGGGCATCGTTGCCGGGCGTATGCACTGCGCTGAAGACGGGGAGGGGGAGGGGGGATGGGGAGGGGAGGGGGAGGGGGAGGGGGAGGGGGAGGGGGAGGGGGAGGGGGAGGAGGAGGGAGGAGGAGGAGGAGGAGGAGGAGGAGGAGGAGGAGGAGGAGGAGGAGGAGGAGGAGGCACCCCCTGCTCTCCCCTGCTCTTCTCTGAGGAGGCCCCTCGTCGCGCCGGCCAGGGGGCGCGGCCCTTCCACGGCGGTGTCGGGACCATGCCCCGGGGACCCAGGGCTGAGTTTTTGGAGCG